AGCCTTTGCTACTTGAGCGTATGGCAGACTTTCTCCAAGTGCAAAGACTAAAACTAAAGAAGGCCATTGCATAGCTTAGTCGTTAAAAATAAAGGACTTTACTTGCAAAAGTATTTGTATTTCATRTATTATATWACTGCATTTGGCCCACAGCTCTGGATAGATTTTCATTTTGGCCCTCTCGGGGAAAATGTTTGGGCACCCCTGATCTAGTCCCATTTTTAACTGTTAGCCTARCTTGGACCTTTGCTTCTGTCTAAATATCCTGAGTGAAGTCACAGCTGATAAGTTACTAACAATTGATAACTATCTAAGAACATCATTTCAAAGATGACTGGACCCCTTTAATCAAATATTACATGTGGACATAAACTTTTTCATATGTTGTCCAGTTAAACAGATACTGTATRGAAATCTGCTGCCAGTTTGCAGCGAGCAGGAAAAAGGGCTAACAGCGGGCAGCTGTGGCTCAAAACGTTGCTGTCGAGGCCAGCCCGTGGTCAGCTTGGTCCTGTTTCAATGTCAGCTGAAGGATACAAATCTCTGCTGCTCAACATGGMGCCGAGCGCCGCTCTCCGTTGTGCAGAGCTGCAGATTTATTACAGACTGGATGTCTGGACAGCGGGGCTTACCAGGCCTGGGATTTCCGTCTGGACATGCTCTGCCTCAGCCACTTTGAGTGCGGGGTCAGGTGGTAGATCAGCTGTCTGCAGATCTTATCTGAAGACTTTATTATGTCTGCGTCCTGTTAGGAAGAGAGCAGAAAGACAGTCCAGCATGAATCACAGAAAACAAGAGAGATTTATAGAGATAGTGTGAAGGAGCACTTTTATCAACAAAAACAAAGGAAGAGACTTTTACCTGTTTGGGTTTATTTGTCTGCACTGTAGCAAAATATCTTATGGGTTACTGGACGCTTTTTGATTCAACTTTCAGAAAGTAGTTATTGTGTGCACGTTTACAACAGATTAACATTTGGTGTCCAATTCAAGATGTTGGCAAAAGACAGCTAAACTCAATTACTTGGACAAATTCTGTGCTAAAATGTAGTGTAAATGTAGCTGATTACTACCCCTTGAGTACTAATTTAGCAATTACTCTTAGCAATAATGATGTTTGTCTGTTAGCAAAATAGCTCATGAACCACTGGATGGATTTTAGTGAAACTTTTAGAAAGTGACTATTGACAGTGATAAATGATTATTTTTAAGTCAGCACAGTTCAAGATGGCTGCCATAACTAATCAACCTTAGCCTACACTAAAATAGCTGTGCCTAAATGGATGTTATAGTTACTGAGGTAAAATTTAGTGTWGTGGTAGACATTTAGTTTTAGTCAATAACACACATATTTGGGACGTGCTAACAGATTCAGTGAGATGTGCATTGTAGCATGTTATTGTGTATAATGTTGTTTTCAGGGTTTGACCAGATGATTTTTTATTTATAGTTATTTCTCATCRTAAGATGATTTGGCGAGGGCTATGCATTCCTTCAAGGAAGCTCTCTCAAACCTAGGGTTTTAATTAACAACTATTTTTTTGCTGGTGTGCACCAGCAAAATAAACAAAAAATATGAGGTATTGGTGCAGAAAGTTTCTCTAATTGCCTCAGACTTGCCAGGCTGTGATATCATTCTCACAAACAGAAAAATGTATTTCATTACTCCTAAAGCCTTGAGCCAGAGCAGAACAAAACTCAATTTAGCTGCCTCACTGGAGCCAGAAAATCTAATCACATGCACAGTGCACGAGTGGGGTGGTGG